TTTACCATCACGTCCTCGCATGCCCTCCAAACCCATTGGACCGTCTTCTCCCGGAGGACCAGGTTCTCCCATTGGGCCTGGATCTCCAACGGGTCCTATGAGCAGAAAAATCGGGGTAGCAATCTATTATTCTGTGTGGCAAAGTAATCTATCCACCGAAAGTAGGAAATCTGAGGTAAATTTTTCACACGGTCCTGCTGGTTCAACTAACCGTAGATTCAATCCCAGAATTTATTACCAGAACACAAATACAAAATCTGTTCGTTCAGTGGGTAAAACTGGGTAGGCAATCGGTTTGAAAAATATCAATTAATGATGTTCATTCATTAAATGGAAATATGTTCACATTGCTTCTCAGGATTCATAAATTCCGAAAACTGGACACTAGATATATGTAACATAACCGACTGTTATTTATCTTTTTGACATGTGCTCGCACAACAGAGGAACACAACTGTGCAAGCACTTGCAGTCGTTCAGACAGTTGTTGCGCACCACGGATTGTGCTTTCTTGAATCCTAAACATAGCAAACGTGATTGAATATCATACTTGTTAATACCCCTCCTGAGAACATCTCAAATTTAAGTTTACCTTGAAGAAACAAACACAATAAAATAAAAACAAAAACGCGCACCAACCTGGATTGCCCGGACGACCGCGAGGGCCAGCATAACCCGGCTGACCCTTTTCGCCTTTTGGTCCGGCAACTTGTTGATATGTTTGACCCTGAACAAGGATTGGTCCGCGAGGTCCGGCTTCACCGGGGGAGCCAGGCTCACCGGGGTCACCATCTTCACCAGGAGCACCATCCACACCGGGTGGTCCACGTGGTCCCTTCAGACCTCGAAGACCGGTTTGACCGACTGATCCACGAACACCAGGAGTGCCCTGGATGGATCGGAGTTAGTCAAGAAGAATAGAGTGAAACCGTGCTGATCAGACGATGCAAGAGACACTGAGAAGATGGATATATTTTATTATGGTCAACAGAGGATCTGCAAATGCACGAAAGGTACTGAGAAGTTTTGTCGAAGCAGGTGATTATAAGTTACCGTTTCTATTTATTTTGATTTCGCTTTTATACCATACATATCATGTAATTATAATAATAAATAATATTCAACATCCAATAACGATGTATATAAACGAATAACCCGAGTCAGATTGAAGGCCATCCGACAACAAATTTAGAAATGAGTTTGATGGTGGTCGTAGTGTCGGGGTGAAACACACCGACTACAAGACGGTAAGCGGACGGTCTCTACCTTTCAACCTTCACTGATCATGTGCATATGACCAGCAAGGATCGTATTCCTCATTCGGATGGGAGTGAATAATTTCTATTGAGCTGATTCCTTTTTGAGCTCAAGCTGGGCAAGATGGTAGCTAGTATTTGGCATGGAACCAACGTACAAACGCGAATCTCGATAACGCAATTGTATTGATGGTTTATTTTTCCTACTCACGATGAAGATTGATCGGATGTATATTAAGCCATCCAGACCAGTTTAGGAATTTTTCGAACCCATTCATTGTCTGTAACTGTAACAAACCACATTGCACCGCGATGTACAAACTTACAGCAGGACCGATACGACCAGGTGGACCTTGTGCGCCAGCTTCACCCTTAGGACCTTGTAAACCTGGGTAACCTGGTTCGCCTTCCGGCCCAGAAACACCGCGATCACCCATC